GAGCTGTTTTTCAAAAAATATAGTTTTTTTGAATTTTTAGGGGTGAAAAACGCATTTTATGGAAAATCCGAGATAGCCATTTTAAAGAACTTGTTGAGCTGCATCTATTCATGTCCTTAATTTGCAATTTGCTTTAAACCCTGATTTTTGGCGATTTTCAAACATTTACCACTTTTTGACTGAAAACGCCATGTAGTTACATCCCTAAAATCGATATATCTCAAAATTTTTTGGATTTTTTTTTCTTCAAAATTGCACAGGGGACGTCAAATTAATGGGAGAGAAGGTATGCCAAGTTTCAAGTCGATAGCGTAAGCGGTTCATAAGTTATTCAAGAAAAACGGAGGGGGGGGGGGTCGGATCCGACCCCCCCAGGCGGTCGCGGGTTAATATATGATATGGCATCGGTAATCGGTACATTGGTTTTCTGTGATTGTCATCGCTGAGTTACATGTTCTTACAGTTGTCAATAAGCAAACGGTGCATCTGGGTAGTCTAGGCCGGTCATGAGTGATGTCGTTCGTGGTAGGATTGGTCATTACACAATACACCGCGGATTTGTTAAATGATTTAGGAGCGAGCGAAACGGGCGCGCGAGAGGCGGTAGTTTAACACCGTGGCTTGGACTGCATGACTTGCCTACGTACGCCCGGGATACGGCCGCATGATGGCGGTGGTGAGCGGGAACGCCTCGTCGGCGATGATGACGTGCGGCATGGTGGTGTTGGTCCCGGGTTGGGCATTGGGCGGTGGCAGCTGCAGAGAGTCGTCTCGAAGGGCGGCGGCCATGTCGCTGCGGCGGAATACAGGGTGTCCCGAAATTGATGCGCCGTTGTTCTATCCTCAATAACTTATAAAGTGCTCGAATTTATTTCACGGCCTCAGAGCTGCCGTTGGCCCACATTTCGATCGTTCTGGCAGTTAGGGGCTTAGAGACCACAAAGGGCACCTTGTCACTGAAAAGGACGCATCTCCAGTCCAGAATGGTCCAGTTTTTGTGGGTCTTCGCGAAATCCAGCTGCCTGCACTTCTGGACCACGGTAGGCCACGTCTGCATCCTGAAGCTGAGCAGCTTCAGCTTCAAGATAGTCTTCAAATACTGGTGGAGGGTCGATTTGGATGCTGGGACATGCATCTCATTCAGTTTTCTTGTCAGCGATGTTGAATGGTGCTTTTTAAAGGTCGACTTTGCAATATCGATTTTCGCCACTCGGCTCAACGCAGTCTTCCGCCCTCGAACTGTGCTGTTCTTCAGTGTCTCTCCTGATCGTTTGCAGTCCATCCAAAGTTTAATTGTCGCAGAGTTGACGCCCAATTCTCTGGCATCCGGAACCTGGGTCACACCGTCCTTGATCATCCCCACCGCGCGCACAGTGGGCCGATATGCCATTCTAGCGCGACAGGGCCTGAATCTTCGAACGGAACCCTTGGTTTTTCGCGAGTAATTCGCGTAAAAAGCGGCCGATCGCAACGAAACTTTCAGTACCCTCGCGATAACTACTTTTACAGCTAACCTGAAAATTTCATGACCCTGACCTTAATGATCTTTGACCTGTGACCTTCTTTCGAGACCATGTTTGGCCGGAATCGCGATTCAGCGTATGTCGGCTCGCATTAGTTGCGGGTTTGCAGTCTTTTCTTGGTTTAAAGCGTCCAAACATGGGATATTATGTTGCTCCCATGCATTAGGGTGGTTGTCAAGGTCACCAGAAGGTCAGGTAAGGTCATTGACCTTTGATGACCGTTCACTTTTTCGAGCTTTACATGTTTCTAGGCTAGTTTTTGGAGCTGAATTCGAATCTAGCAACCATTTGAACATTTACTATGTAGCTTTTGTGCCTTCGTAACATGTTACAAAGCTGTCAGAGGCGGTTGCCACCTACTGCAAATACCCGGCAAAACCCTTACTGGTTGACCTGACCTGACCTGACCCGACCTGGCCTAAATGCATGAAGACATCATCCATGATCGTAAATAACATTATATTCGTGATCAGCACCCAAAAAACCCATAGCAGCCACCCTTTACGACGTTCTAACAGGTCCCGATTTTCCCGACTTTTGGGTCATTGACCTGACCTGGAAGGTCAACCGATGACCTAGGACCTTACAATTGGGTATTATCAGCTTCCTCCTGTCACGGGCAACACGCTCGTCTTTTCCGCGAAGCTCTAGCTCGATCAGGGGCGACACGGCGGGGGGTGGTCCAACGGACCCCTTCTATACGTTCGCGGCTGGAAAAACAACACTAGGGGCGAGGGTTAAGCCAAATCTGAGGGCTTATTTGAGAAAGACCGCTAAAAGAGCTATTGAATGCACTTTTCCGCGACGATGTAGCTCTATTGGTCCCCGAGGTAAGGGCCGGTTTTCGAGAAATGTTGATATATGCAACATTTTACCTTTGATGACCTCTGGTGACGTGACCTTTGGGCTTTGACCTGACCTAGAAATGACTAATTACTCCATCTAGAATTTCGGGCGCTCTTTCGAATGCCACTTACTACGTGTCGCTATGTGGCCCAAGAGCCGAGTTAGAAGGGGGAGTATTCAATCAACACCTCCCGGCCCGGCGCGTTTGACGCCGAGCACCGGTCCGGCGCGGGTTGATGTTTGGCTGCCACATCCAAAGTCGCAAAAAGTCGCAAAAAATGACTGTTGGATCTTGTAGTGCAATGAATCATTGACATGTAGCGAGATTTTCGAAGCGGTACTCTGCGGTACTTTTTTTAAAAGTCTATTTGTGTGTGACATCAATTATGTGAAATTATATTTTCGTCTTTAAATCTTTGCGGTGCCAATACATCATGACCAAGTAAGAGTTCGCCATTTTCATGTGGTTATGTGTGTTCTGCAGACCCGGAGCTATCGTTTGATGTATACAAATGTGGAATTCCTCCTCAAATTGTGATTGTTTTCGTGGATCAAAGATACGTTGTCGAAGAGTGCGGGGGACGAGTTCGGTCCAAACGATTCCGAAGTTCGTGTTTAAGCTGAGTTTTCGCCATGAAATAGCAATTGTGTTGGAAAACAAAGACCACAGCAATGTAGTATGATCATTTTTGAACAAATTGGTATAGGTTTCATTGCACATCCACAAAGCTCGATTTTTTTACCCATGTCGTGCTAGACCTGGCGATCGGCCCAGTGTGGCGCGGTAGCGGATCGGTAGTTTGTGCCTTTTCACTTTTGGTGATATGCGGTTTCTCCACGTTGCCTGTCTGGACAGGAGTGGCCTCCCGCGCCCACTACCGGCCGCGGTCGGGTTAGCCGCTTGGTTCACGTGATCGTGTGACCAGCAAGATGTCCGTGGTGCCAGAGCCGGTAAAATTGCAGTTGTTCAGCACTCGGGAGGGACAACATAACATGCGGCACCAACCGCGCATCAATTTCGGGACACCCTGTACGCCGCCGTCCGATTCTCTCCCGGCACTTCCCACCGACACGTAGACGAATCTGTAGTCGCCGTCCACAGTGGCCAGAACAGTGCTGAAGGTGTGCTTGTAGTTGTAGTATTCACTTCCGGTGTTGGCTGGCGCCTGCAGGTGCTGCAGGTCAGCATGCTTGCCGTCCAGCGCGGTCACGCAGTTTGGGAAGTTCCACCGGTCTCGGAAGTGGGCCTCGCTCCTCTCCCAGGTGCGGCGAGTAGGGGAGGCCAACACCTCCGGACCGACGGCGGCGATGATCGCGGCACACGTGTCGTACACTATGGCGTGGACCGTCCTCTCTACCAGGTGGTACGTGGAAGCCAGAGCCGAAAACTCCATTCCTGACGCCAGAAACCGAAGCGTAACGGCCAGGCGCTGCGCGGCGTCGATTGGCTCTCTGAAGTTGGTGTGTTGTCTAGTGATAGTTGGCCCGATCTTGCTTAGAAGAGCAAAAGTGTCGCGGGTCATCCGGAGGTAGCTGCGGTGTCGTTCGGGATCGTTGGTACGCACTACGCAGCTCTTGTACGAGGTTAAAGAATTCCCCCCGAGCTCGGCGGCGGCGGTTCACGTCAGCGACCCAGCTCTTGTGCCGACGTTTCGGACGGCACTCATCGTCATATTCCATCATTAATAGCTGAGCTTCGGCCAAACTTAGGCCGACTTCCATTCTCAATATATAAAATGTAGAAGCAATAACCACGCAATAACAAGAAAATGTACTATAACTTGAGACGTTTTGTCAACATTTGTTTTCCTAACGGCGGCATTTGCTTCAGCTAGTTGCTTGTCTGATGATGCCTTGTGGGCGAAAATTCACCCATTAGAATACATCACTTTTGACTTTTTTACATTTCTTAAGTCGAGGAAAAGGTCATTACAAATACTATACTTAATCATAACAGGAATGATAACTGAACTAATTAATAAATCGCACGGCGTTTAACAGAACGGTACATCATCGGTGATCAAAACTTTTTTGGAAAATATTGTTCACATCTCCAATACAATGTGCGCTGACCAGTTTCCTCAGTAATTCAGGCTGTAATTCTCGTGCTGTGTTCAAACTTCAAAATGATGTTAACAGTGAGGGCCAAACTTAACCCGCGCCGGAACGGGGGGGGTCTGAACACCCCCCCCCCCGTCTAACTCGGCTCCTGGGCCACGTAGCGACACGCGGTAAGCGGCATTCGAAACAGCGTAATTTGGGTCAGGTCAAAGGTCAGGTCGCCAGAGGTCGTCAAAGGTCAAATGTCCATTTCAACAATTTTGGGAACTGCCAACGGCTAACTCGGGAACCAGTAGAGCTACAGCGGCGCGGAAAAGCGCATTCGATAGCCCTTTTACAGACCTTTAAATCTTCACCGGAAAAGAGCGAAGAAAAGAGCACTGACTGCACTGCGAGGCCAGAGAAAGGAAGCACTGGTGCGCTGGCCAGTGGGTGCACTGCAGTGTCGGATGACAGAAGCATTGGTGCATTGGCCAGTGAGCAGTGCGAGGTCAGAGGAAGGGAGCACCGGTGCACCGGCCAGTGAGCACTGGGGGGGGGGGGGGTCTCGGGACGGGCGCCAGTTCTTACATTCGTCTCGGTGCACAGCCTCTTTGCCTCCGTCTCCTTCCTCCACGTCTCGGCGATGATGCCGGCCTCGCCCAGCACTTGGATGCTATAAAACAAACAGCTGCCACGCTTATCAGGCAGTTATTTATTTTATGTAAGCTGATTATGTAATGACATATATCGAATTTTTGATAAAGTAAAACTCATTTTCAGGCGTGAAAATATAATTTGAAAAGACTGCAAGTGAAGGAAGAAAGCGGCGATCACGAGCATGTCGGTAAATCGCATTGATAGCCATATTAGAACGTTGAAAGAAAGAACACAACCATTGAGCATTTTGTTTAATTATTAGTTAACGTCATGCCATTACACGAAACTTATCATTCACGACGTAGTGATACAATCCAAAATTTGGCAAATATATTCCTATGCAATGAATACCATTAACCCGGCAGTTGCTGGGGTATTTCGCCACCCACCGTTTGCTGGGGGGGGGGGGGGGCGTTAAACGCCCCCAGCCGATAACTCGAGAACCAATAGGCGCAGCGAAACGCACGAGGCGGCAAACGAAAGAACGCGACGAGACGCTTCAGATGAGTACTTTAAAGTTGAATTTTGAGGTCACAGGTTGGGTCAGGGTCAGGTCAAACACCTGAAATCGGGCTTTCAGGAGCATGGGCTTCAGGACTTCGCAATGGGCGCCTCTCGTCATAAACTCTGTCAAAACGGTGCACAACCCATCATATAAGGCCTACAAGAGTGTCAGCTCCATGTAGGGGTCAGGCAAGCATAGGTCAGGGTCAAGGTCAGGTCAACCGGGTAGGCAAATATCCCCGAAAATCAAAACTGATATTCGCAGCCTGTGACACATGTTTTATGGGTAATTTGGGGCGTAGAACACGATAGTCACATTCATTTTATCATATGTGTACGTGTTTGGCTCAAAAAGTTCAATTTAAGAAATGCATGTATCATGGTCGTGAAGTAGTCACGAGAAATTGCCAAGATTCAGTTCAAGATTTTGGAAAATGCGGAACGAATATCAATAATCGAAGATAGCCATTTGATTGTTCATGGTATTGGCAGTCTAATGGCGTTTACGGCATGTCTTTATGTCCATTCTGTGATTTTATATGATTTTTTGAACATATGCCGTTTTTGGTCGAAAACTCAGAAATCATGACGTCACTAAAACCTCGATATCTCAAAAAATTTCCGACCAATTTTTTTGAAACTTTGTCACAATGCACTTCAATCAATTCCCTACAGGTACCTAAAATTTGGCGCGCCTACGGCGCGCCGTTTTTATGCTATGGCTCGGCGAAAAAAGTGGGGGCGTTTAACGCCCCCCCCCCCAGCAACTCGCGGGTTAACTAAATGATAAAAACGACGACGAACTGCTTACGCGTTTGAAATTCGATCCCCATACGGGAGATCTTTTTGTAGAATGGCGTGTCCTCTGCTGTAGGCCAGTTTGATGGGTGCCCAGATGAGACGGCAGTCGGCTTCGACCGTTGCCTCAATGTTTGCAACCCTGAACGACAGGATAGAACAGTAGTTTACGCTTCGCACTTCCTGAGCATGAAGCACGCAAGTGAAGAGCAATGAGACACATGTACACAAGCTATCCGTTGGTTTCATCATATTTAAATTTGTATGACTGGAATATGTAACTAGCATGGCGGATCACTCGATTTATGCAAGATTTCAAGCAGAAATCAGCCTCACAAATATCTTTGATGACCCCACGCATGATTGAAAGGAAAGGTGCTAATGAATGCTCATGATAAATGTGGATGCATCTGCTGTTCGTGACCAAAGGTTTAAGCATCCGGTCATTAATTAATTAATTGGAATCATGCTATAACAAAGATACATAATAGAACAATAATAGAAGTCGTTCACATACGGTGAAAAGAGGACATATTTTCCACCTTGCAGAACGCGATCTATTCCAGCTTCTAGGTCATCGATGAACATATAACGGCGGCTTTCAAAAGTCTGCAGCTTCTGAAACAAAACAAAATAACACCTTAAAATGACCATCCCACCATAACATAAGTTTTGAGTTCAGATAGTCAAATTGGGGTCTCTGACCTGCAATTACCTGTTAAGACACTCACAACATCGAGAAATACTTAAACTCTGAAATATTTAATTTCAAAGTTGCAGTTTTCGGATTATAAGGGTCTAACGCATTTGAATGCCCCCTTGGGCTTTGTGACATCAGCGCAGTTCTAGCGATTTTGAAATATAATACTGAAAAAAACTATTGCTGTGGCGGATATATACCACTTTGCGCGCAACACCTGCCACACTTTTAAGATACCAAATTATTGCTTCCAAATGGCTTCATAATAACAGCGAAAGTAAACAAAAGTAAAAATGTATTGTCAGTTCTTACCGAGAGCAGTTCATAATCAAGCGATCATAAATTGAATCAGAATTCAGATGCAACAATCCGATCTTAACCCGCGCCGGGCCGGGGGGTGTTTGAACACCCCCCCCCCCCCCTGCGGTTTTTCGCAGATATCTCAAAAAAGCTCCGTCGTTTTTGGCACACCTGTTCGTGCATCTTTTCCGCACGTGTTGTGAAAATTTCAGACCCAGGTCGCCTTAGGTCAGGTCACCGGGTCACGCCAAGTGACCTCACCTCAGAAAAAATAAGAATGCTCGTCATAGCTACACCGGTTGATCGATTGCCTTGAAACTTTCAGCGATTAATTAGAGCAACAGTATCTATAAAATGTATATCTCGGAATTTTGATATCGGTGACCTAAGGTCAGGTCACTTTTTGCGGCCGGTCATTATAAGGCAATGGGAGAAAATTGAAAAGCGTCTGTTTTGCACGAACGCCATTCTAGACACTGCCAAACATCGAGATGTAGGTAAAATTGACACACTGAACCGGAAAATGGCAACTGACCCCTCGTTATGTCCCGAGGTCATCTCAGGTCACGAACAGAATCTAACAGTTTTTCGCTAATAACTTCTGATAGAGGCATGCTAGAGCGTTGAAAACGCCTTAGATGCGTTCGGGTCGACGTTGCGGATCGACTGATATGCAACATGACCTTTTCCGGTCAGGTCATGACCTTGACCTGAGGTCAAATTTTCAAGTTGACCTTTCAAGGTCAAATTATAGTTCATTCGACATGTCTCGACGAGAGGAACACGATACTGGTAAAAGTAATGTCATGGCTCTTTTGAGTCAAAAGTTATCGCCGCAAATCGCTTTTCGTAAAAACGGCTATTTTTGGAGTTTTTGCCCTCTGGAGGCTAAACCGTTGACCTGATGTCAAATCTGAGAGCACTACTCAGAAAGGCCTGTAAAATGGCTATCGAATGCGCTTTTCCGCGGCGCTTTAGCTCTATCGGTTCCCGAGATAGCCGTTGGCAGTTTCCAAAATGTTGAAATAGTCAACATTTCACCTTTGGTGACCTCTGGTGACCTGACCTTTGACCTGACCCAAAAAAATGACCGAAGATTTTTCGTCCTTATTTTGGACGTTCTTTCGATTGCCGCTTACCGCGTGTCGCTACGTGGCCCAGGAGCCGAGTTAGAAGGGGGGTCGTTCATACACCCCCCCCCCGGCCCGGCGCGGAATCTCAGAGCACCGGCCCGGCGCGGGTTAAGTAGCTTTATGTTGTTCTGTGTTCGTTACGGCAAAATCAAAGTAATATATAATATCATCCCTATATAATCCAGAACGAGGCCGGTGTAAATAAATTTTCAAGACCGAGGTTCTTACTGGGGTTTCGAACGAGCTCGAAGGCCGTGTTCAAAAGCCAGTGAGGACTGAGATTATCACCGGCTGAGTTTGGTCTTGACCTATGTACATATTTTACTGTATGCCAGCGATAAATTAATGTTCTAACTTCTAGGCCGAAGCTCTTGACCCACGTTTAAAGGAAATAGTTCACTTTTTAACATGGGTTTTGAACTGGAATAGCAGTTCCGTAGCTTGGGCTGAGACGAGCATAAATCAGGAGCTTTTACAGCCCAACGATCACCCTAGGCAAAGATATTCTATTTCTCGTCCCGAAAAAGGTGTCTTGCGTTGAGGATGTGTGCCCTGCATATATTTGCATCCAGTATGAAAAGAGCATGGGTACCGAAAATTCTTCAGAAACTAGAGAAATTATCTACGAGAACTCTAGAGAAATTCACGTACTGATCAATAAGGACATTCAGGGGAACATTATCGCCCTTGCCAGTAAAACTAGTAAAAGGGCTAACTTTGCATGGTTATTTAATCTTTAATGCATTATTTCACGCACTGGCGGATCCAGGGTTTCAGCGCGGGGGGCATACCAGGTCACGGAGCCAAACCTACTCCTAGGGTACCCCCAAATCCTGTCTTCTCATCGGATTTAGGCCACTTATTTTTCGTCATAGCCCTGATACGATAGTTTTTTTCTAAAAACAAAAAAACAAAACAAATGGTAGGCCACCTGGGCCCTGTTTCACCGGTGAAAGCAACACGCTGCTATTACACGTGTCAAATTGGGTTTCCATGGAAACATCAACAAACCATGGCGTCGTCAAACTGTGTGATGTCATGAAATATTGATGCTAACATCTTCACTGCCGTGCGATCAAACAAATGTATCAAACGCATTCAACGAGACAGCAACTCTGTTCCAAACGTAGCTATGCAGCGTGCTGCTATCCAGTGGCGCGGGAACCGGGGGGGGGCTAGGGGGGGCTGAGCCCCTCCAACTTTTCGGCTGGGGGGGCTCGTAATGTATTTGAGCCCCCCCCCCCAGCTGGAGGAATCGATATCGGAAATCTACCAACACAATTTCATAGATTCATACATAGGCGCGGGAACCGGGGGAGAGGGCAGTGGGGGAAGCTTGCCCTCACAACTCTGGGGCCGTGGGGGCGGTGCCTCACAACTTTTCATGAGGCCAGGAGCCGTTGGGGCAGCTTGTCCTCCCCAAATTAGGGGTTGTGAGTCACAAAGGAAGAAAGCATGTGAGTGAAAAATCTACCTATTTTACTGACTCGGCAACGCATTTGGCAGCTTAAAACCTTTATTCCAGGTTGCCAAAACGATAGTTTCTTCACTCAGCTGAGACGGAATACCTCACTTTTTTGCAAATATTTTCTGCTTTTTTTTCGTTGAAAAGGGCAAGGTCTGAAAAATAAGTGGCCTAAAACCGATGAGAAAGCTAGATTTGGGGGTACCCTAGGTTGATCTCTATGATGGTTCAGCCCCCCCCCCCCCAGTCTGGAAGAAGTTCCCGCGCCACTGCTGCTATCACTGGTGAAGCAGGGCCAATACCCCACTGGCAGATCCAGGAGGAGGGGGCTTTTGGGACAAATAACCCGGCAGCGCCAGAAATCGACAGAAATTTACGTTTTCGTTTCAGGAATAATACGAAAACTTAACTTATATTACGAAAAGTTTATTTTAAAGTGCACAGTAACGCGTAAGGAATACAAATTCGATCAGTTTTTGGAATTTGGAGACTTCTTTGAGTGTATGCACTTCCCGCAGCGTCGCCTTTCTGGATTCGCAGTGCCTGGCCCATGTTTTTATATTAGTTTGTTGCCCCCTCACATTGCCCTACTAGACGATTAAACAAATAGAAAATACAAACCTCTAGCCTCAATGCTACCTAGCACAAAATTTTGCGCTGAACCTGAGTCCTTTTTTTAGCATTTTTAGCATTTGGCATAGGTCGAGTCAGGTCTGGTCAGGTCAACCGGTAAGTGTTACGCCAGCTAGTCAAAGGTGTTAACTGCCAGTGACAGCTTCATAGTTTGTAACATGTTGCATTGGCATTTGGCACCAAAATTAGGTACTTCTCAAATGTTCAAATGGGCTCTAGATTCGACAAAATCCCAAATTGACTTTTTTTTTGCTTTAAAATTGACATTTTGACAAAATTGACATGGAAATCATCTCCAAAGTTGACTCTCCAAAAAGTGACTAAAAGTAATCTGAGGTCAATGCCCTTGACCTGACCTTTGAGTGCCCTTTGGCACCAATTTATAAAGCATGAGACTACAATCATTTCACGTGTTGGCACGTTTATAAGGCACAACAAAGTCTGGAAATGCATAGATAATGTGGTATACGTCGAATCGCGATTCCGGCCTGACATAGTCTCGACAAGCAGGTTACAGGTCAAGGGTTACGAGTGGCAGGGTCATGAAATTTTCAGGAAATGTGTAGAATTGATTATCACGAAATTACTTAAAGTTTCACCCCGATGGAACACTTTTTACCCATTTTTTTCGAAAAACGATGTGTGGGTCTAGCCGACCCCCTAATAAGTGCGAGGGTTAATCTCACCCAAACACCGGAAACAAACAGCTGCTCTCATCCCATAGCTCTGCGATATTCTTATTTGACCGAAACAAAGCTTCCTCTAAAACCTAGTGGTCGGCAGGTCCTCCGGTGTCGTGCCCCCTTTTCCGGCGCCAGGCAGGGCCGTTACCCCCACTTTTGGTCCCATTCTTTCCATGCAACGCCCATAGGGCTAATGTTAAAATGCCAAAATCAAAGGGGGGACGGTGCCCCGGTGCCCTCCCCGTTCCGCCGCCTATGGAGAGGAAAGATGAGTGAGCAAGGGATTTGAGAGATAGGTAAAGAGACAGGGGAGAAATGAGATTTTATTGCTCCGCTCCTAATAACACTTCCTAAAATAAAAAATAACTGGCCGTAATTATCGAATAAGAATCGGAAAATGTCAATTGAACGTCTGATTCGCTTACATCAATCGACAATCCGCCCTATGCCATGTTTGACATGTTTGCAGTTTGCACCAAAGCCAGCTTGCAGGCTATAGCCTATACATCGAGGCAGTGGTATATACTATACATCCCGGTGAATTCCTGCATATAGCCGAGACCTCCGGCGGTATTTTCCCACGATCAGCCGGATTTCAAAGTCGTGTATTTTTCGTCCATGGCAGGTGGCCGGCGCAATCTCGGGGAAAGAGGCGCTCCAGTAACAAAAGCACGAGCAGATCGCCCAAATGCCGGTGGCCGCGATAATTTCTCTAGTTTCCTGAAGACTTTTCGGGACCCATGCTTTTTTCATACTGGATCGCGTGTGCCTTACAGAAACTGAAAAGTTCTTCCTATATCAAAATATAGAAAATAATCTTTTGTTATAAAAAGGTTTTATTTTCTTTGCTGATCATTTTGAACATAAAAAATCACAAATCCATTGCAAAAAAATAATTTCGTGAAAGTGAACTATTTCCACCTTTAAACGATACCATCCCAAAATGTTGGCTTATGTGCAGACTGGAAAAGCATTTTTGACCGTGGTCACTTTGCTTACACCAGTGGCCGTATTCACAATCACGGGTTAAAGGTAGGGGTAGGAGTAACGGGTAACGGAACGGGTTATTTTTTGTGGCTGTATTGACAATCGAAGTTACCCCTCCCTGATGGTCGCCCGGCGCCATGCAGACGGCACCTGGCCTGCGTGGTGCCGTTTGGGTTTACATCAGTTATTACCACACCCTTCCGGCTAATGTATTTGAATAGGCCAGGCAAACTAAAATATTGTAAAATGTGTATCAAAGCAGAATCCAAATCCAACCCATCCGTTTCCAGGCATGAATGCTATAATAATCGAAATATTTTGTATAATTGGTCATGTCTGCAGCCCCTCGGGACTCTAAGCACAAGCTGGGCTTACTACAACATTTTATACTACAACATATCAGGATGGCGCATGAACCACTCGCCTGCAGAAACTGATATTCAAAACCATTTTCACGGATGAGTATCTTCCAGTCCTTCAGGTTTTTGAGCTCTTGCAGCGTGCTGAACGGCATGGCGAACCTGTTGGAGGCCAGCAGGGAGACGATGTTGCTGGTGTAGGCCGTGTACAGCAGCATGGTCAGCATCCACAGACAGATCAGCGCCTGGCGGGCCGACAGCGTATTCGGCTGGAGACCAGTGCCTGAAAACCGACACAGTCTGTGAACAATGTAATCCCGTCATGCATGTGAAGACACTTTGAAGGGCATGAGTCCATGGCAGCCAGGGCTGCGGAGTCGGAGTCGGTCGGAGTCGACAGTTGTGACCGGACTCGGAGTCGGAGTCGATTTTAGAAAAACGAGCCGGAGTCGGAGTCGGAGTCACCGAAAATCTGTCGACTCCGCAGCCCTGCTAGGTCTGCGGAGTCGGAGTCGGGAGTTGGAGTCGGTCGGAGTCGACAATTCTGCCCGGAGTCGGAGTCGGAGTCGGAGCTGGTTTTTGAAAGCCGGAGTCGGAGTCGGAGTCGGAGTCGCCGAAAATCCATCGACTCCGCAGCCCTGATGGTAGCTTCATAAATATCCAAAGGGCTATTCAAAATTGATTTCAGCGTGAAAGCCTCCAGCACACTCCTAGTGTTCGATGCCCATGTATATCAATCATCATTTTCGGGTCCCTTAGATCATCTATCCAATGGTAGATATGAGACTGTTTTGAATGTGATCATTTAACATGTGAGTGCGTTGCGGAAAGGGGAGCGATCGCATAAGGTATCGATTTCGAATGCCTCACGTTACCTGTTTCAGCCCTGAACCCTATCAGGCCCCTATAGCGCGTGACTGGACGCTGTGAGCTCACAACGCGGTCATCTGATTATGTGACGGCGGAGGGCCACCGAGTTGAGCTATTGGTTCGGATTGAATTGGATAAATGCACTAAATATGGCTCTAAGCTACACAGCAGTGCCGCTGTGATAACGCGACGATGTCCCGAGCGAGACGTAAAGTAGTGCAGTTACTAAGCCACATCACATAATCTCCAGCCGCCGGATCGGCCGGCCACATCCTGTCTCCCAGCTCCGGCCCCGGCCCCCGGCCCCGACTCACCCTGTTGGAGGACGGTGCCGGTGACGATCCAGGCCGAGTCGGCGGCCGACGAGCGCGTGTCCACCGGCCCGGAGAGCAGCCACAGGGTGGCGCCGGCCGCCAGCCACGCCAGCACGGCCACCCCGAGCAGCGCCAACCACACGGAGCGGCCGAACGGCGCCAGGTAGGCCGTCCAGTTCACCTCGTCATCGGGCAGCGCCAGCGCTGGAGGCAGAGCAGATCGGTCGGAGCGTGTCCTGATAGGCACTAGATGACCCGTGGGTGAGTAATCAGTCGCAGTGAGGCACCCGCAAAAGTCAGAGGGTGTCCCGTGGCCTGTAGGACCGCAGAAGGAAGGGTAGTATTTATTTCGTACTAACTGCGGTGCTGCAGTAGGTAGATGGAATGTGTGGAATGTGTGGTTTACGAGTGGACGGTGTCCACTGTGGATACATACTGGGGTCTCTGATGAGGAAGCTGTGATGCGTGGACTCGATGTGAGGCGTGAAGTCCACCAGGGCTCTGCGCTCCTCCACAATGGCAAACGAGGCCAGGCCGATCTCCAGCTGGCGCTTGTACACGTTCCCGAGCATGCCGCCCGCTGTAAGATTCCCCTTCAAGATGTGCCTCTCCGGAACGTGAATCTCGGCCCTGAAAGCACACGTGTGAGGTGGCACTGTTGAACAATAATTAGAGAGAAAGTCCGTTTGTCAATGTAGCTCTTTTGCAATCAATATATTTATGTAAGATAATTGCAGAGGGAGGGAAACAGAGCGAGAGAGAGAGAGAGAGAGAGAGAGAGAGAGAGAGAGAGAGAGAGCCAGTGATAATGAAGATAGAGATTTCTTTGCTTACCTGAAATTTAGTCGTTCTTCCAGGAAGCTAAGCAGAGTTCCCAAGAACCCGGAGACTTGGAGCTCTCCATTGGGAAGCTTTTCCATGGTGACGTATTGATCCTGTGAAAGTTAAAGGGAGATAATGAGCTTTCTTTTTTCTTAAATAAAAATTACTCGACATCTATACTATTTCTACTGTAGTTTCTATAAAATATGAAAATTTCCTAGCACATTTTCGTATGTGAAAAAGGTTTTTATTTTTGCAAAAAAGAAGCAGTACTTGCAGTACTTGTAACACCCACCGAAATGCGTTGTCCTTCTCTAATCTCTATAAAAAAAAGTCGCAGTATATGGCGCTTTTGTTTCAAACAGCGACGCTTGGGTTTTTGTTTATGTTAGTGTTTCCTCTCTGTCGCTACTGTGTCCCGTGCTGCGACCCATTCCAGTTTGGCTGTTGTTGGCCGTACTCACCCATTTTTCGGTTGCGCTCCTCATCCGCCACAACCGTGAGTTAGACGACGTCGGACGAGAGAGGGAGAGAAGTAATAAAAAAAAAACGAAAAAGAGACGGAGGAGACAATGTTGAGGACATTGGCGCCGTTGGGGATGGGGGGTGGGAGACGCGCCACTCGCGGCCCGCCTCTGTTGTCACCGTCGTCCCCTCTCACTGACTGACGTCTGTCCTCTCGTCTCCTCCCTCGCCCTCCCCACCCTCGCCCCTCCCCACGGACTGCCGCTCCCCAACCCACCTCCGACCCAGCTGGTCTTCACACTCCAGAGGGGCCACTAAACTTTATTAGGGGACCCTAATACTGATTAGTGTTTCCTCTCTGTCGCTACTGTGTCCCGTGCTGCGACCCATTCCAGTTTGGCTGTTGTTGGCCGTACTCACCCATTTTTCGGTTGCGCTCCTCATCCGCCACCAAAAGCCCCAACTGGAACCGACAGGTAATGGTAGGAGATTGGCACACTCAGATTCTCCTCGTTAAGCTACCAGAAGGACTGGTTCTCGAGAGTAGAAAAAGTGCTATTTGAATGCCCGGTGGCCCATCACACAAGGCGCAGTGCTCACCCAACGAATGTCATCCTTCGCAACACTAGGGCAGTGTGAAACGTCGCCCTTCCAACACCAGGGCAGTGTGAATACGAACACCAGTGCCGCGTGAATCGACACCCTTCGCAAACACCAAGGAATTGTGTGAATCGACACCCTTCAAACACCAGGGCAGTGTGAATCGATACCCTTCAAACACCAGGGCAGTATGAATCGACACTCTTCGCAAGCACCAGGGCAGTGCGAATCGACGCCCTTTAACACCAGGGCAGTTTGAAGGACACCCTTCAAACACCATGACAGTGTGAATCGATACCCTTCGCAACAGCAGGGAATTGTGTGAATCGACACCCTTCAAAAAACCAGGGCATTGTGAATCGACACCCTGCAAACACCAGCGCGGAGTGAAACGACACCCTTCAAACACCAGGGCAGTGTGACTCGACATCCTTCGCAAACACCAAGGAATTGTATGAATTGACACCCTTCAAGCACCAGGGCAGTGTGAAACGACACCCTTCAAACACCAGGGCAGTGTGAATCGACCCCTTCAAACACCAGGGCAGTGTGAATAGACTGCAGTGAGAGTCGACACCCTTCAAACACCAAGGCAGTGTGAATCGACACCCTTCAAAACCAGGGCAGTGTCAATCGACACCCCTCAAACACCAGGGCAGCTTGACTCGATGGATCTTTTTCTTGTGCTCAACGTGAAGTAGCAAGAGTGTCTTTCGAAATGGCTAAAGCAAATGGCTGGCCAGCTTTTTATTCAAACGACACAGCTATGTATATATATAAATAATGGTGATAATAGCATGGGGGATGCCCAGGCAGATGCTTTAAGCGCAGAATACCTAAGAAGCATGAACATTACGGTCACTTGGGTGAAACATCAATAAACCAAATCGTTCAAACGCCATCAGCACGTGCTTACGTTTAACCATCTTGGTATATCCAGGGATACGCCATAAGTCGCGGGACAAGGAACATTCCGCTACTTGGGACGTCACACGACGAAGCGACTCGTCGAGGGACACGCTTACACACGGCAGGCCACGCCACCGACCTGACCTAACTTACCCGGGCATTGTCGAGCGGACCCCGCTAGGTCACGTCACCGAACTGACCGAGCATTCCAAGCCCTTGCCGCCCGGATCTTTGTCAGGTCACGCCACTCACCGACCGCCCTAACTCTCAGGTCGGTCACCGTCCGGGCCTCTGCCAGGGCACGTCACTGGACTAATCTAACTTTCCAGATCTAACTTGGCCACGTCACTCACCCCAGCACATTGCCCCAACAGACGGTAAATAACTTTTGAAAATACCAATTTCCAATTTTAGTGTTTTCTGGACCAAAATTTTGCGAGGAATCCGATGGTGTGGTCCCCGAAACCTGAAAAATTTCCATTTTGGAGATAGCACCTATTTTTGAAAAATAAATATTCGTCAGGCTTAATAGTCAAATAAATTGGAAATATAATGAGTTAATTTTTGTAACAACACTAGAATGTGTCGAACATGAATTAGAGATATATTTTAGCTGAGATGATACTATATCTGCGCATACATGTACATGAACTAGTACATTAGCCCTCGTCGGCCGAGAAGGGGTGGGGCGGGTGCCGCCTAATAGGGCTTTTCGCGATAGCTTAAAACTCGCTTAGGGTAGACAGCTGAAACTTGGCATACCTAATCTTTTATTCAAGCTTTATCTCTTGACCTCAACTGCGTTTTCAGGTCAGGTCAGGTCACTGACCTATTACGTCATAAATGAGCCTCTGCGAGGTCCTCAGATGTTGCAACTTTGCAACGCCCTCAGTGCCAGAGGAACTTTCACAGGAAGATGAAACTTACAGGACGTAGTATCCTTCAGAGGTCTCACAACTTGTATATCTCGGATTTAATCTAAATGTCACATGAGGTCAGGTCGGTCACGTGACCTCACCATTATAAGTCAATGGGGGAAATATGAAAACTGTTATTTTGGCGCCGGAAATGATCTAAAACTGTCCCAAGCACATGAAATCGTGGTTTCATGTACTCTTTGTAAGGTCCGATCATGAAACCACGATTTCATGTGCTTGGGATAGTTTTAAATCATTACCGGCGCCAAAATAACAGTTTTCGTATTTCCCCCATTGACTTATAATGGTGAGGTCACGTGACCGACCTGACCTCATGTGACATTTAGGTTAAATCCGAGATATACAAGTTGTGAGACCTCTGAAGGATACTACGTCCTGTAAGTTTCATCTTCCTGTGAAAGTTCCTCTGGCACTGAGGGCGTTGCAAAGTTGCAACATCTGAGGACCTCGCAGAGGCTCATTTATGACGTCATAGGTCAGTGATCTGACTTGACCTGAAAACGCAGTTGAGGTCAAAAGATCCAACTTGAATAAAAGATTAGGTATGCCAAGTTTCAGCTGTCTACCCTAAGCGAGTTTTAAGCTATCGCGAAAAGCCCTATTAGGCGGCACCCGCCCCACCCCTTCTCGGCCGACGAGGGTTAATGTACTAGTTCATGTACATGTATGCGCAGATATAGTATCATCTCAGCTAAAATATATCTCTAATTCATGTTCGACACATTCTAGTGTTGTTACAAAAATTAACTCATTATATTTCCAATTTATTTGACTATTAAGCCTGACGAATATTTATTTTTCAAAAAATAGGTGCTATCTCCAAAATGGAAATTTTTCAGATTTCGGGGACCACACCATCGGATTCCTCGCAAAATTTTGGTCCAGAAAACACTAAAATTGGAAATTGGTATTTTCAAAAGTTATTTACCGTCTATTGGGGCAATGTGCCAGGTCATTGCCGTCCGGACCCCTGCCAGACCACGCCACTTACCGAACGAACTAACCTTACTCTTCAGGTCATGTCGAGCGGGCAAGGCCATGTCACCGAACCGACCCAGATTCCAAGTCATTGCCGTCCGGACCCCTGCCAGGCTAGCCACTCACCGAAACTGACCTAACTCCCAGGTCAGTCGCCGTCCGAGCTCCTGCCAGGTCATATCGCTCACCCAACTGGCCTAACTTTCCAGAGCATACGCCGTTCGGACCTCTACCAGGTTACGTCACCGAACTGACCTAACTTTCCAGGCGACCGCTGTTTGGACCTCTACCAGGCACGTCCCCGAACTGACCTTACTTCCCAGGGCATGTCGTACGGACCTCGCAAGGTCACATCACCGAACCGACCTAACTGTCCACTGTCCAGGCCAATGCCGTCTGGACCTCGCCAGGTCACGCCACTCACCGCACTGACCTACTCCCCAGGTCAGTCGCCGTCCCGACCTCCTTGTCCCAGACCACTGGCGTGTTCCAGATCACCACCCCCGGGCGATAGATCGGAGCGGGTACCGACCGTCTCAACAGCCGTAATAGGCGCCGTACTCGTCCCGCTGTCCCATCCCCTCTCCAGGTAGGGACCGCCACCCCCACCCCCCGCCAGCCGAGCCCAGCGAAGGCGCGCCGCGTTTATGGCCGCGGTGCCGCCTGGGGCGCTCCGTCGCTCCCCCTACAGGCATATGACACTCGCTCCGAGCCTGCCGGCGGGCGCCGGCCCGAAGTCCACAGATATATGTGTCACTCCAATAGTCAGTCACGTGACACCCCCAACAGACATGAGGTGCACGGACACGAGCCCCAGAGGGTGTCCCGACCGACGCCTAGGGCCGACCTGCCATAAAAGGGGCCAACGGTCATAACCAGTTGTAAGCGGCGGCCCGCTCGCGTCACCGCCGCCCGTTGACGCCCAGCGGCCAGCGCGGGGCCGATGACAACAACGATCCCAATGCGCCGGCCCGCCGCCTCGGCGTTCCCGCGACGCGGCCGCTGGGAGGGGGGGGGGGGGCAGCCCGATCGCTAATGTGAATGGCCGAGCCCACAGGCGATGAAGGCATCTCACTGCGGCCAGCTGCTGCCAGGTACTGGCCGCTGCTAGTCCCGCCCGTCTCATACATATTATGTCCCACAAAGTTAGTGCGCACGCCAGTCAGTCCAGTACCGAGTCGGACACTCCCGCCGCCGCGCCAGTCTGGGCCAGACCACTCCTT